CGCGGCCCTTTTCCCAAAAAGGCCCCCCCCTTTCCCCCCCCCCCCCCCACCCCTCCAAATACTCCTTTTGGGAGGGGGTTGCCATCTTAGAACTAGAAAAAAAACCCCCCACCACAATCACAACCTGGACTCTGATTCTCCATTTATGGAATAGGTGTCCATATTTTCCATGAAGGGTCCAAATGTGATTCAGGAAGGACCAAATCTTTCTTGGTAGGTCAAATCCTGGCTGCAGGACCATAGGGTTGCTGACTATGTATTTCTGCAGCAGGCTGCTATTTGCCCAGGCTTCCCTCCATTGTTCTTTGGTGCTCATTAGTGAGAACTTCTTTGCATATTTCCAGAAAGGTTTTCTAGATTTGAGCCTATCCAGGGGCGGCTTGGTGATATCCTTGTTGATTGGAAGGTTTTGGTTACTGATGGCCTTTTAGTATTCCCTCATGCCCATGGCTGTAAGCCATGGGGCAATGGCATACTTTTTAGCGTTTCTGTTCACACTTTTGTTCCAGACCGGGGAGAGATTTCATAGATATGAGGGCTGGAAGGGACCTCGGAAGATCATCGAGTCCAGCCCCCTGCCTGAGGGGCAGGAAGTCAGCTGGGGTCATAGGATCCCAGCAAGATAAACATCCAAATTTCTCTTGAAGGTGTTCAAATGTAGGTGCTTGAACCACCTCCAATGGCAGGCTATTCCAGACCTTGGGGGCTCAGACAGTAAAGAAATTCTTCCTTATGTCCAGCCTGAAACGGTCTTGCCAGAGTTTATAACCATTCAACCTTGTCATCCCTTGAGGCACTCTGGTGAACAATCGTTCCCCCAGATCCTGATGAGCACCCTTATAGGTGGCCATCAGATCGTCCCTGAGCCTGCGCTTTTCCAGGCTGAAGAGTCCCATAGCTCTCAGCCTGTTGTCATAAGGTCTGTTTTCCTGACCTCTCATCATGCGTGTGGCTCTTCTCTGGACTCTCTCAAGCTTCTCCACATGCTTTTTGAACTGTGGAGCCCAAAACTGGACGAAGTCCTCCAGCTGTGGCCTCACCAAGGCCAAGTACAAGGGGAGAATGATGTCCCGGGATTTGCCTGAGAAGCATCTATGGATGCAAGCCAGCGTTTTGCTCACTTTACTAGCTGCAGCATCACATTGAAGGCTCACGTTCATCTTGTGGTCAATCATGACCCCCAAGTCCCTTTCATCTGTAGTGCTAACCAGCATAGCACTGCCGAGCCTACAAGCATGATGCAGGTTTTTCCTCCCAAGGTGGAGAACCTTGCATTTTTCAGTGTTACACACCATCAGGTTCTCGTCTGCCCATTTCCTGACCCTGTCTAGGCCAGCCTGGATCGCCCTCCTGTCCTCAGGTGTGGATGCTTTACCCCAGAGTTTGGTGTCATCGGCAAACTTGGCCAGTCCACTTCTGACACCAATGTCCACATCATTCATGAAGATGTTGAACATTATGGGTCCAAGGACAGAGCCTTGGGACACCCCACTGATCACAAGGCACCATGACAATTGACTTCCATCAACCACCACTTCTGGGTCCGACTACGGAGCCAATTCCCCAGCCAGCGGATTGTGGTGGACCTGAGGCCACAGTTGGCCAGTTTTGCTAAGAGGTAATCATGGGATACCAGATGAAGGCTTTATTCTGCTGCAGAGAAAACAAGTGCTAGCGTGGCCACTAGTACAGTTGCATTTGCTCTTCATGTTGTTCCAGCCAGTTTATGCACAAGGTTAACTTGTGCTTTTGGTTTTATAGCAACATTCCGTAGATGTTCACAAAAGGCGAGGCTCTGATCAAAAGTTATGCCAAAGTATTTCGGAAACTTCTCATGCTTAACCTCTTCTCCACAGAAAGTGATGGCAAGTTTCTGGTCAGCATGGGTGTTGTTTAGATGGAATTATGTGATGACAGTTTTCCTCAGATTTGAAGATCAATGAGAAAAGTAAAAACCATCATCTGTTACTTCTTTAACAATGCAAATCCATGACTAATCTAGTCTCAGTACGATCAATTTTATAAACCAAATAGATGGAAAATTCTTTACAGCATTGTAAAATAATATCATATAATACTGAAGAAGGTAAACCAGGCTCTCACTGTAGTTCTACTAGTTTCGCTTTCACAAGTACCTGGCCCTCACTAAAGCATAAAACCTGAAAACTATGCAGCAGACATCTTGCATCTTCCCACCATTTCAATGGCACACAGTTATCCGTACACTACAACGACACTACATCGATGACAGAGAACAAAAGGGGACTGCCACCCCACAAGGCTAAGCTGCTTTACTTAAATTTTCCATTACAGCAGGGGTTTTCAGCCTTTTTTAATAAGCGTACTCCCAGCAGCCCCTTTTTTAGTAAGTGTACCCCAGGGTGGAGGTGGGGGAGGAGAGTGGCAAGTAGTCAGATGCAGAGAGGGGGTGTGGCAAGCAGTAGCAGCCTAGCATCTGTGCAGCCCTTTCACCCCGCCCCAGCCCTCTGCCTGCGAGAAAGTGGCATGGGTTGGTGGTGCTCAGTCCCTGCCCCACGTACCTCTTGGGACCTTTCAAGTACCTCCAGGGGTACACATACCCCTGGTTGACAACCCCTGCTTAGAGTACTCAGACCACACCGATTCCCAGGATTTCCAAGGGCAATAGACAGAACATGTTGCCAGACCTAACGAGAGTGAAAATGCATTTCCACTCATTCTTGGGGTCTCCCTAACCAGTCAACTCATAAAGAGTACCAACTGAAATGTTTCCCAATATGAAGCATTTACTGAAAATCTTATTTATTATTTTATAAACATAACAGCAAACTTACAGGTGTTTCCTGGAATTGCGTGTGCAAAAAACGTTGAGTTCGTTTTACAACAGATGCATCTGATCCCCAAAATGGAATGCAGTACTGTTTTAATTCTTCAGCGTAAAACACTTGACCTCTGCAAGAAAAATTTAGTAATATTTTCCTTCACTTTCAATAAAGTCAGCTGTAGAGCTATTCCTGAGTTTAGCAAAACTACAAAACAAATGCCAGCAGTGACAACTATAATGACTCCAACAACAGAGTTTTTATCTTAACCACTTTTATGCTGTTGTCTCTCCCTTGGATTTAAGTAATAAATCTGAAAAACTTGTCCACATATATTACTGATGCAACTCGATTAGAGCCAATGGTAGCTTAGTCAGAATAAAATTTGTCTGTCTGTACAGCATTTTTCTCTGGTTTCCTGCCACGGCAGTGTGAATGTTAAGTCAGTGACCCAAATTTTAAAAATTTCATAAGGCTAGTGTTATGCTTGGTTTTGTAAAGTCATCTAATTTTTAAGCATTTTTTTTATTCAGTGTTATTTACGTTGAAACATCAGATATACTGGTATTAAACCCCAAAGTAAAACCTGTTATTCTTCCCCACATCTCCAACTTTGTTAGATAAGGAATATTTTCTGTTTTAGAGATGTGTTAACTTTATTACAATACATATCCTGGATTTGTGCAGGGGCTTAGGATAGATTATTTCTGAAATTCCTCCCAAGTTTCTGAGTTTATAAATACTCTATACAAAGATCATAAACAACCCCCCCCAAAAAAACCCCCCCAAAACCACCTCAGTCTTACAGGTTTCCTTACCTTCTTTTAAGTTTTGCACCAATAGTTGGAAGAGGTGCATGTCCAATCTCCTTTCGAAGCACCTTCAATTTGTCCTGATCTGCAAGGCCATACACAGCTGACTTCCAGGTTCCATCATTTATACAATAACCCTAGTCAAATATCATGAAAGAATATTACATCAATATCTAGAATTCTGATCTGCTGTTAAATCTAGTAGAGCAACTTTTTATTTATTCTACTTTCAGTATTTCTCCATCTTTGATTACATACTATACTACATCCTTTAAAGGAACCACACAGCCAAACAGGCAGACATCGAGTGCCAACACCACACAGTTGTATTCCAATGTATTATATACATGTTTCCCTTCTACACCTCTTTACAACAAACCCTATGTTAAACATTTTATGAAAAGGCCTGGTATGTGTTGCATCATCCAGACATACCATCCGTACAAGCCAACCTTACTGAATTTTACATGTCTAAGCCAATAAAATATTTTTCAGGACAATAGTAAAAGGCTGGCTTTGTTCCTTGGTCCAAACCATCCTAATGCCATTTTTGCAAAATAAAAAATAGTAACTCAATCAGCTGCTTTCTCAGAAAACATTTTTATGTGTTTGGAATAAATATAAATACACTAACCTCAGGTCCAGTATTAACTGTCAGGAAGCTTTCAACTGCAGTTAGGATACCTATGTAAAATACAAAGATAGATATCCATGACAAAAGTCCCTGATAAATGTTATACTGGAAGCATGATTATAATGTTAATGAAGCAATAAATTTGTAACGTTGCACTTTTAAGCAATTTCTCATCTGATAATAAGCCACAAAAATGGCAATCCATCCACAAAGATGTTACTTGTTAAACGTAATACCTTTACAGCTTGTTTGTATCATGCTACACATAGGGCAATAGTGTTTGGCTTGGTCCTCCAGCACCCTGGGGTGGACTGCTGTCTTCTTCCACCCCTCCTGCCTGCAAGGGGACTCTCCAACTCATGCAGAACTCTGCAGCTACAGGGTGCCACAGCAGGAGATGTAGTGCTACAAGGTCATATGCACACAGTCAGCACTTTCTGACTGGAACCCCACAAGATGTTGCAAAGGGGTGCTTCCTAGCCAGGAGGCTGTTGCTTTGCTCCCTCTGCTCCACCACAGTGCCCTGACCATCAGGCCAGCACTGACAGTGAACGCTGCAGTGATCCCTTCCAGTGGTGCTAGGTTTTGGGAACAGCAGGCTGTCACTGACAATACTGTTCCCCCTTCACTACTTCCCCCCCTTCCCCATTCCATCAGCAGCAGAGCACAGTTTAACCCCTGTAGGTGGCAGGGGTCTGTCTTTGACAGCTGCTGCTGTAGGACTGGAGCAACAGCAAGGTCTCAGACACAGAGAAGAGCCTGTTAGGCAATGTGGAGCAGGGCTCAGCTCTCTGTTGTCTGCAGGACCCAGGGTTGTTCTGCTGCAGTAGCAGCTGTTCCCATTGTCCCTGTGGGAGCAGCAGGGTCCCCAAGCAGAACTGCTGCTCCCCTGAAGCACCAGCCAGTTCTGTGAGAGCTTACCACAATGAACAGAGCTGCAGCCCCAGGTCCTGGCCAGGCTTCAGCTTTGCTCCATGTGGTCTGTCAGTGAGCCTTGAGCCAGTAGGGGTAAAAACAGGAAAGGCAGGGGCCTGTAGGATGTTATGAGACCAAGAGACCCCTGTAGCACTACACTGAATTACTCACATGTGGCACTACAAAGTGCAGCTCTACAGAGAAGTTACAGTTGAAACAATTAAATTTATGCATCTGACTTACTATCTGTACCACCACAGAACTGGTGAGAACATTTGCATGCTCACTGTTTGTCGTGCTAAACAGGCTATAGACATGACATGTCTATGGCATAAGAAACACAACAAGGATCTCCGGGTGGGAAGAAAAACCTTTGATGATACCAGGAAGAGAGGTTATAAATCTAAGATGTGAATATGAAGAAATAGAACCCATGCATAGTGGGAAAGTGTTGTAGGGATTCATTTGTTTAGGGATTCATTTTTATTAAAAGTGAAAACAGCATATCAAGATGTCAAAATACCTAAAATAATAATAAAAAAAATCTACTAGCAGTTATAACAGCACATGTGCATGCACGTATTTAAGATGAGTAATACAGGGATCACCTGTGCAGATACTCGTGTTGAACTTTTCAACGAAAAGGCCATGATAAGAAGCATAACTGGTACTCCAGTACTGAATGAGGTTCTGCTGGACACAGTACCCTTGTTTGGAAGTGAGAACTAAATTCAGTTCATCTGTAGTTTGATATCTCAGTCTATTTTCAGTACATTTGTCCTTAAAGGCAAAATAGCAATAGCCAGACCCCGACAAAGACAGGACATACTTATGCTCCAACATCTACTCCCCTCTCTCTCAAAAGGAAAAACATTTCAGAGAAACAAGGATCACAAAGCTCAGTCAGACACAATCATCAAGGTAAAGATAACTCTTAGAAAAAGTTACCTTTCAAGCTGTCCCTGGTGTACAGTATTCCCATATCTGCTGGAATAGAGTCAAAACCACAGCTTCCAATGACATATGTACCCTTTTCTGCAGCTTGGTCATTATATTTCAGATACATGCCTTCCAGAAACTGAAAAATAGTCAATATAAACATTTTAAACAAAATAATCTGAACTGGGGATTCAAATCAAAAGATACTGAATGAATAATGTATAAAATTATACATTCATCATAATTTATTTTCAGCTTTAACCATGATACAGAGGGAGCTTTTTTGCATTAGGATTTCATTCAGAAGATAAACACAATTTATTCTGCTGTTACTAAAAATCAGACCTAAATAACTATTTTATTTTGTGTGTGCGCCCCAGTGTGTTCTACCAGACTTCAATTAGTCTATTCACATGAGTAGAGTGACCCCTATGATCAAGACACTACACAGGATTAGGTTCACATATTACATTTATTTACAAGGCTTGTTTTTATGGATCTAAAAACTCCAGAAAAAATTAAACTTACTCAAAACTCACAAAACAGAAACAATATGATATCTATCTATCATCTCTTTTACTAATTCTAAAAGAATAGGTAAATAACTCTTTCTGAAATTGTTTCTCAAATATTTTCTGTCAGCATGAAGTTGCATAACTTCAGAAAACACAAGCACTTCATCCTAACAAAGCACTCAGCTTCTTCCTACAGCTAAACCCTCAGAGTTCCAGAAACATTCAAATGATTATGTTTTAGTTTTTATCATTATATACTAGCAGTATCTATATAAAATGAATAAAAAAGAATTCAGACTTCTGTTAAGAGTTAAGACATGCTTCACTGAATATGAGCAGTAATTCAATTTAAAAGCATGGCTTACACTCTACACAAAATAAGGCTGGTAAAACCCTCACATGCAAAGCTGCTCATTTAAGATTCCATATAATTATAAGACACTGCATATAACCAGTCTCATGTGATAGTTGCGTTACATATATGTTTGTACATTCAGTATTTAACATACTTCCGTCACAATGTATTTACTTAAAGGTTTTGTATATCATAAAATATACAATCTTGGGCACAAATTATCTACAGCCTGAATGAAGAGCCACTCATAGAGAACCACTTAACTTTCACAGAAACACTGGATCTAAACCGTTTCTTAGCTGTAGAAAGTAAAGTTACATTTTGGCCAGCCACATAAAGACAGTGTATAATTCCGCAGTCCTCTCTCCTACACCAACAGAGATAATTATTAGCTATTAAGGGCCGGTACCACTTACAAATATAACGTCTTTATAATTTTGCTGTATTTTAAATTAGTGACATCAAATAGCTAACATTACATTTTAGCACAATCATTACTTTTCTAGAAAAATATTTTAAAGTGTCCTTCTTAACAAAAACACTCAAATTTTAGGTTTAAAGTCATACTGAATATTAAAGAACCTTCAGGATCACAAGAAAGGAAAACGTTGGAGATCTACGTACAGACGAAAAAAAAAGTTGTACTACAAATGTATTTGGTTTGCAAGCATGACATGAGCTCATGAACAATACACCTTCAATCTTGCATGTACGCTTATATATAGAAATCCTGCTTATGTAATCATAAAGCAGACCTTGCTTCATGTAACAAATACTGGGTGCATAAAGCTTATCACTACTGTTTCACCAATTTTAAAAAAATAAATAAAATAATAATAATCCATTTTTTTTACTTACTACTTTAAGTAACAAGAACAATTCAGAATGAGTAAAATAATTCTCTCACATGAATTTTCAGATCTTAACCTTTCTAACAGTTAATGTACAATTTTAGAAAAAGATGTGAATAAGCAGGCATTAAAGCCTCAAGGCCAATAGGACACTGAATCGTGCTTTAAGCATGATTAGTCCTGCTGAAGTCAGGGGGACTATTCATTTGCTTAATTTTAAAAACATACAATGGAGTGCTCTACTTGACTCCAGCATAAGATTTCAATTAAAATTTTTCAAGTGCCCTTACTCTGGTAAAACCAGACAAACTGTAGAGCTTATATATATATTTTTTTTTTTAAATCAGAAAGAGTGACTAGCTTCTATTTAGTTAAATAGCTTGTGTGAAGTTATTTCAGTTGAACAACTTCACATTTATACAACACTTTTAGTACCACATCTTCCAAGGTCTGGACAGACTACACAGCCTCTGTCTACAAGTCATGAAAATGTAGCCTTTTAGGCAAAGGCTGGCATTCTTTTATTAATCAGCTGAGGAAAGTGGAGATGTCTGGGCCAAGGACATTGAAGCAAATCCTTATTCTTGTATGACAGCAGACAATGAAATGTGTAATACACACACAGAGCTAAAGGACTTCCATTTTTATTAAGGTCTCTTCTATGATTATGGCGCACACAAGCCTGAATATAATCATCACAGAAATACAAGGGGATGAGTTGATAAATTAAGTTAAACCTGATGCTCCAGGGAGATGAGCGCCACAAACAGTTGTTACATTTGTGTTGGGAGAAAAGCCTCTCTCTACGCAGAGAGTTGCACAGCTCCCTTACTGAAAATAACTGGGTCTTCTGCAGTAAGTTAGATCAGTTATCTACAAGGAAGATCTCCCCTCCTCCTGATCTAACTTGAATGGCTGTCCACTTCTTTTGGTGTGGAGGACACCCAACAATCCAGTCCTGTGCTTTCCCTCCCTCCAAGAATTTCAGAGAATCCTAACTAGTAGAAATTAACACCTCTCCATGGCCACGGGCTTCAAATATACACCCTAGACCACTGGAGCCCACTGTACAGAAAAGTTGCAAACTACTTATTTCTAGAGAGCTTACAAGAAGACATTCAAAATAGATTCTTTTAAAATTTTGAATGCAAGTGCCTGAAGAACTCTAGAAAGTAGGATTTAGACTCCTAAACCTCCTAGCTGTTTTGAAAACTGTATCCAATATCAATGTAAAAATGTGTTCTACAAATTCACATCATTTTATTAACAACCTTACAACACTGCTGTGAAATAGGTAAATTAGTACCAACAATTCTATTTTACAGTGTAAAAACACACAAAGTCTGTGAGTTGCTGAATGCTCTGAAATAGCAGAGTTGGGATTAAAATTCATTCCCAGAGCTATATGCTGCTTCTAGTGATTCTTGACCAAGAGTAAAAAAAAAGACTGATAAGGGTTAAAATAAATAAAACTGCACTTGGAAAATGAAAGATATGTTTGCAATTTAGGAATATCAGCAAAAACCGGAGAAATGGAATTCTTCAACAAACAACATTTAGTTACTGATCTGATCTCTTCAGGCAGCAATTAGATTATTTACTGACACTACATACCTGAGGTTCTCCACTGATATCAAGACAACTTGTGCCATTCTCAACACAAGCTTTCACCACAGGCTCTCCAAAAAACCTATACTGCAAGAAAGATAAAGGTGATTATTTTGTTAATTACTTTGTTGAAAATAACTAGTAGCTGCAATGGTTTTGCTAAACAGGACAGTCACAGTAACTTCGGATGTTATTTTTTATTGACATTACCCAATAGATTTAATCATGGATACTAGTGTTTATTGTACATGAAACACTCTATCATGGTTGCATACATTTTGTTAAGATTATCAGCAAAGGTAATTTAATGGACTTTAGCATATGTGTAAAGTCAGGGAAAGGGGGCAAAGATAGCTATGCAGTCTCTCCTGATCTGTTCGGTGCTGAAGGTATTGGCAGCATCTAATTTCTAGGTTTTGACATTTGATCTATTGTGAATGAGCTGGAAGGAAAAAACTAGAAAAAAAAAGGAGGAAAAAAAACAGCTTTGTAACTAGAGCAGGTAAATGCATCTTTCTTTTTCAACTTGTTTGCTTTGTTTTGACAACACTTCAAATAAGCAAGTTTGACTATTCCCTTGTATAATCAATTTTCTGACATTCATTTGGATCTCTCAACAGAAACAAGAGAGAAAACTTTTTATTAAAAGATATACATAAAGATAGACTATTATCCTCAGAGAGTCCTCCTGACCTGCTGGGGAACTAAAACAGAAAATTACATGACATTCCTTTGGACTTTTTTTTTTTTTTAAATAACCAGCAACATTCTGTGATCTATTGCCATCAAACGATCTAGATTTTAAGATTAAGACCGGCTCACTCAGTACCACAGACCAAAGGGACAGTGGTTTATTTGGATACAGAGCAATCTATAGTTTATTTCTTTACAAAGACAAATCAATCCAAGTACCAGACTAATCTTTCACAGGTCTTGGCATCATCTCAAATGGTATTAGGCAGAGTAGCTTTAAGGCACCTTTTACTGGCCTTCATTTAGGGTGTGTTCAGAAGTGCTCCACAAACATTTTACAGCACTGTAATGCACAGCACTTTTTATAGCACTATAAATTTACACCGCTCTTAAACATGACAGAAGTGCAGGGTTTGGGGAGAGGGGGAAGACTTCTGAGCCTTTCTGCACTTTCCAAGGAGGGGAGCAGGAAGCTGTGGAGAGCCCCCTAGGCCTGCAGGAGGCTGGAGACAGCAGCAGACCAGTGGAGAAGGTAGAGTTGGGAGGCAGCAGCTTTTACCCAGGCCCAGACACGTGTCCTACCCAAAACATGTCCCTCCATTGCTGGGAGTGGGCCCTGCATCTGCCAGGAAGTCAGGCAGCAGCTCATACCTGGCCCTGCTCCAAGCCACTACTCCCCAGCCATGCAGGGCCTTGGGAGATGTGGATGTGCATGTCTGGGTGCCTGCACATATGCCTGTGGGTGTCTACATATGCGTGCATTTGTCTGTGGGTTTGTGTGTGCCTGTGGGTGATGGCTGTAAGTGCACGTGCCCATGGGTGCAAACATGCATGCATGCATGCCTGTGGGTGCCTGTGTGTGTGGGCCTGTGTGTGGGTCCCACCCACAGCATGTCCAAATGTCTTCTCCCCCCACAAGCCATTCACGGTCTTGGGGGGTGGAAGGACCTATTCGCTGGGAACAGGCACCGCATCTGCCCCTGGGCCAAGCAGCAGCAAAGCCCATAGGATATTGGTAGAAGAGGCAGATGTTTGACCAGAGTACAGACATTATTTAAAATGGTGTAGATTTCTGAAGTGCCATTAAATGCAATGCTTCAAATTTAATACCTCATTTAACAAGGTTTAATTTAAAACAAAACGCTGCACCCTTTTTTAAAGCACCATAAAGCTGTGCACTTAAGTCATGGCAACAAAGTGGTTTAAACGGTGCATGCCCCAACCACCAGCATCTCTCCAACCTGTCATGGCATACAAGTGATGGTGGTGCCATTAGCAGCCCCCCACACCCACCTGCAGTGCCTCACCTCCCCCCATACTTACAGGGCCCACACAGTTGAGAACCATGCTAGACTGCTTGGCCATGCTGGCGAGGGAGGCCGGGTCCTCCACATCACACTCAATGATGCCAACTTCCGACGCCAGGTCTGGCTTCCCTGCAAGGGGGAGAGGAAAAGCTAGGGGGGTGCGGGGAGCCCGAGCCCTTTCCTTCCGGCTCCCGTCACATTCATGGCGCAAACACCAATGGGCTGCTACAGTGGGGAGGGGGGGCAGGCCTGGCGCACCCCATCCCGTCGCCCCGCGCTTACCCAGCCGCTCGGCCGCCCGCTCCAGCACCCGCTGCAGCTTGTCGCGGCTCCGGCCGGCTACAGCCCAGCGCAGCCCGCCCCGCAGGTCGTCCGAGGCTGCCGCCCGCGCCACCTCCTCGGCCACGAACTGGCCCGTGAAGCCCGAGGCCCCAAACACGACAAGCGCATAGGGCCGCGGAGCCGCCATGGCACCAACGCGGGATGGAAAGCAACGAGCGCGATACAGCACAACGACCGCAGCCTCCGCCAACTGCTGCGCCACTTGCGTGGGGGGCGGGGGCGGTCACGTGTCCATTCTGCCCCGCCCCACCCCACCCGAGCCCGACCTCGCGGGGTGCGGCTGTAGCCGCTTCAGCCTTGGGCGGGCGGCATTTGTGCATGCGTCCCCCCCCTCGGTGGAGCAGTGGGGGCTCCCCCAAACGCGCCAGCCTGGGGCGGGCGGGACCTGCGGGGGTGTCCGGGGCCAGGCAATAGGAGCAGTGGGGGTAACCTTGCAACCCACAGCAGCCACAGCGGAGAGCTGCCTGGGTCCTTAGCACACTTAGACTTAGAGCCCCGGGCCCCAGATAGTGCGCTGTGACCCCCACCACAGACCGAAGCAGTGAATGGCGGCGTCAAATGAGGCATAAACCATCAAGTCGTTCCACAAAATAGGTGGAACAACTCAGTGGCTGGGTCTTACCCTGCCATGAATTTCATGTGTGGCTTGGGCCCCTGCTGGGAGCCCATCAGTTGTGGGGGTTTCCAACTGCTTGCTGGTGCCTGGGGAGCCAGGATCAGGATCAGGGCCCTGAGCTGCTGGGGGGTGGGTCCTTTGCTCAGTGGCAGCAGCACGAATGGCCCCATCCGCCTCCCTTCCCTTTGCTTCCCCTCTGCCAGCCTTGCCACCACAGTGGCAGCTTCCTAACGGCAGCTCTGTGGCCTACTCCCCACAGGCGGCAGCACTGGGGTGGGAGGGGGGGTCTCAACTGGTCTGGTGCCTCCCGAGTCTGGAGGGGGGCCAGATCGCTGCCGGGAGAGGGGTCCTCCAGCAGCCAATCGCCCAGCATGGAACCACCAGCAGCGAAACTGGAAGTGCACTTCTGCCAGCGCTTCCAGTTTCATGGCTGGCACTTCCAGGGGGTGCACGGCCAATCTCAGGGGGTGCGTGTGCACCCACTTGCACCCCCTACACATCGCCAACGTGTGCTGGGATCTGTTCCTGAATCCCAGGCATGTGGCAGGGCAGGAAGCACGATAGTGGGAATCACACATCAGATCCCACTGTGCTTTTACCTGCACATCTGCCAGGGGTCCTGCAGGCAGAACCAGTAGGCATGTGGGGTGCACGCAACAAGCACCTCCCTGGCATGCAAGCAGAACAACCAAGGGAACTTGATAGTTAGGACAGGAGAGGAAGGCTGGCCTGGATGGCTGGGAGGCAGCCAGCAACCGTGACATCATAGCACTGGGTGGCTCAGTGATTCTCAGACAGGCAGTGGAGAGATCCTCTAAAGCAGGGGTTGGCAACGTTTTTAGACAGAGTGCCAAAAACATCTGCAACCTCAACTTGTAAGATGTTGGCATGCCAGGGGCAGACAGCAGATGAGCCACGAGGGGCCTAATCCTTGTTGTGGCAGTGCAGGCCTGGCCCCTTCTCCATCATTCACTCTGAGGCACATGTGCCAAGCAAAATGCTTTTGCATGCCATGCTCTGGCACCTGTGCCAGGGGTTGCCTAGCTCTGCTCTAAAGCATGCTATGGGGCAGCAAGCGACCGGTGGCGATGCGTAGGCAGTACACGGGGGTGCACATGCCCCCCTGAGAGTTCTGGTGCACCTCCTGACAGGCAGCGCTCCCCGCTTAGGCAACAGGCGGGGGGAGAGGCAAGAGCATCGGTGCCCCCCGTGTAAGTGCCAGCTGGGGAGTGGGGGTGCCAGGTAAAGCACTCCTGGCACTTCTGGGAGTGCTGCTCACGCTTCCTGGCTGGTGTGATCAGCCATGGGGGGACCTTCCCCAGTAGCTGACTGGCCACTGGGGGTACACATGCCCCCCCGACTCAGAAGGCACCAGTCACCCATGCAAGCGACATTATCACTGTTAAGCTAAACCACATGTCGCCTGTCTCCTCACACCTGGTGGAGGAAAGAACATGTGGTTCTGAACCGTTTCTACTACTGCCTAAGATTTTGGCACTTTCCTACTTCCAACCCTCACCAAGCCCCCATTTAATTTTAATTTCACCTACATCTTAATTTTACTTTCACCTACATCACCTCAGGCTGTAAACTGGTCAGAGCAGGGACATCAGGATCTGTTACTTCCTCACAGAACTATTTTTGACACATCTGTAGTCAACATGCAAATCTTGTATCAGCCTCCTCAGACATCTATAGGGATTTACCCTATCTACTGGAAGACTGTCATCCAGGGGCTGTGATCGCTGCTACCAATATAACAAGTGCCAACCTAGCAGAGGTCATTAAACGCTAGTACAATATGGGTGCGTCTATGCTTGACAGTACATTGCAGTAGCAACGCCCTGCAGCGATGTCGCATCCACGGGTGTCTACATGTGACCAGCAGCTACTTTGCCATACTGGCACACTATAATGGAGGAGAGTGCCACTATGGTGAAGCAGTGGCTAAAAATAACTGTGCACCATGCATACGGCGCACTACAGGTGGTTCCAAAAGGAAGTACTAAAGCACAGCGCAGTAACAACGTCGCCATAGGGCAACATGTAGAAGTGCCTGGTAAGTCTTAAAAGTCATAATCATTCTGGCTCTGTCAGATGCTGCAGCCTAGTAAATGACACAAACTCTCTGCTCACTTGTGAGGGTCTAGAAAATCCTTTGAACAAATAACAAAAAAGGTACACTAGAAATGAGCGAAGTATTGTTGATCTTATTCAAACAAAGAGCTTTAGTTGTCTCAGATTAAGCTATAAAAGAAAAAGATGTCCTTTCTCTTTTTAGGGGAAAAAATAAGGAAATGGTATTGTTTTCTCAAAACCCCAAATGTTAAAAACCCAGAAACTCAAAGTTCCACTTTGCAAAAAAATACAGTGCTGATGAAACACAGCACTACCTTGCATTTGTTGGATGGCAGGTGCTTTCTGAGCATGAATTTGCTCCACATATTAAATGGGGCATTAAATTTTTATTAACAAACTTTGTACTGCTTTTAGTTGTGGACAGTCTAGTTTTTTAAAGGGTTCTTGTCTTGAAGTAAGTGATGGATGGTTTTTTCCCCCAAAATGAACTGTAAGTGAGTAAAAAAGTTGTGCCTTATATTACTTTGGGTTTTGAATTAATGTTTTCAAATGGTGGCAGGAGACTTCATGGAGCCTGCAAGTTGCACAGGATTTCTGGCATTGCTTGTAAGACCCCCTGTTCCCATGAGCTTTTCTCTTTTCCCATTTGACTCCCCAATCATCACCTTTGTTCCTTCAAGTCTCTCTCCTTGCAGTATCTCCCCCTCCTCCACATGTGCTTCCCTGTCTGCCACTCCTTCCTGAGAATGAGACAGTTAAGAAATCCAACTCACATGACGCAGCATACATTGTATGCTACATGAGCCTGGGGCGTTAGACTTGCACAGACTTTGAAACATCTGCACTGGGCATCTGCATTGGCTAGACCATGCTCACAGAACATAGGCAGAAGGTGATGTGCTTGCTTTAGGTAATATGCATACTGCCTAAACACGAGCTGCTACAAACTGCAAATCTGAGCAGATTTGGGATTGACTAAAAGAGGTGCAGCATGCCACACCTTTGGACCATGGTGGGGATGGGGACAAGATGTGGCTGGAAGCCCCTGGTCATCAGGGGACATCAGGGAACCAGGCAGGGAGCAGGCACACAAAGTGGGGGGATCCTCCCCCGGCCTCCCCTGCCAACACTGCTGTTCCTGGATGACCTAGAGGCAGGGAGAGGACATCCACAGCTGCTTTTGCCCCACTCCAGCCAGAGGCTGTGGGGAGGAGCTGCATGGGGTGCCAGGCTCACTTGGGGACAGCACTGGTGGTGTGCAGATTCCTCCTTCCAGCCCCTGGTCCTGCCCATTTTCCCTTTACCAGGGGGTCCCCCACTGGCTGGGAGCTGGCACTGAATGTTCCCAGCTGAACCTGACACCCGACACAACTGATCCCTGCAGCACAGGGGTAGGGCAGGAGTGGTCCTGCATCTCCCCCCTCCCTACCCCCACCTGCAGGGCTGGCTTGTCCTATCCTACGGAACCTGTGGCTGCAGGGGGCCCCACAGCCAAGGGGCCCTGTGCGTCATGAATACTCCAAATCAGTGCCATAGCAAGGTGGGGGTGGATGGTTGCAACCACTCTGCATTGTTGCTAACAGCTTCACGTCTGGCCAGTCACCAACCCTCCCCACCCACCCCACTGCCAGGTTCTTTGGCAGCCTGCCACCCCCCACCGCACACACACACTTCCTAAGACTCCAAGTGTAATTCAAACTCTGGGAGCAGGCACTGGAAGGACAAACCTGCTCACTTCCACTGCTATGCTCCGCTGAGCCTGGCCCCCCTACAGCCACAACTCACAGTTGGAGCAGGGTACATGAAGCTTCTACACAAAATTGAGTTTGATTTATCTTCTTATCAAAAAAGAATAACCTGAAAGGGTCAGCAAGATCTGTCTCCAAACCCTCATCCTGTCTAACTGAATTTCAACAAGCCCATGTTGCCAGCTCTCTTTTTACCCAATTCTCTCACCATTTGCAATATATTTAAAAAAATGCAGTTGTTAGCACTGAATGATTGCATGAGAAATTCAGCTTTCAGTAACAAAAACGTTTCTAGATCAGGATTTAGTGAAAATATGAAACTATAGAGGGACAGAAACAGAAGATGAAAAGAATTTTCAGCTTTGTATTTTACAAAATGTTGTTAGCACAGGGCCCTCACTCATGCTTTCTATAATAATCTGAAGGAACTTTTGTTGCTGTGAAGCAAGATTTGTTTGGCAATATCATTTGTTTGGCAACCATCCTAGTTAAAAAACTAGGTGACTGTGGCATCGATGCCTACACAGTCAGATGGATTGCAGATTGGCTGAGGGGTCGCACTCAGAGGGTGGTGGTGGATGGGTCATATTCGACCTGGGGCGAGGTGGGTAGTGGAGTCCCCCAGGGCTCAGTCCTGGGGCCTGCGCTGTTCAATTTCTTCATCAGCGATCTGGATGATGGGGTGGAAAGTAACCTGTTTAAATTCGCTGATGACACCAAAATTTGG